CCTCTGCTGCCTCTTGGCAATCAGCCAGGTGTCACAGTCTCTCCAGAACATCAGGGAACCCCCTCCCATCTCCTGTTTCTACCAATACTGTCTGAACTCTTCCCAGGACTTTGTGTAACACCATTCCTTCCAGAGAATGAAAGACTTCCCTACTGTAGAGCATACAAGCTTCTCTGAGCCCTGCCTACACTGACTCCATTCTGCATCAGTCCATGCCTCCAGAGAACCTAGACTACCTCGTGAGAAACTTACCTAGAAACAACATTTGCTTATCAAATAATGTCCGTGCTGCAAACTAAAACGTGTTCGTATCCTTTACAATCAGAAGAGCTGTAACCCAGCCCTGACTCCATTGGTGTTTATAACAATGCAGCTGCCGAGAGCACCAGGACTCACCAGGTCTGCCTGACAGGATGCCCACAGGATACTGAACCCTGGAGTGATTCTCGGGTTATCTCTTCTTTTCTCCTCTATTCCATACAGACCTCAGCCCTCCAGACAGCTTGAGTGACTCACAGCTCAGCCATGCAGAGCAAACCAAAAAGTACCTGAAGAAAGAGATCTGTTTCTGGGATGAATCAAATCCTAAGAACAGAAACAGCTCTGGCCACAGCATGCTCCGTGCCAAAGCCACTGGTGGAGCATTGCCTACCCCGCTCTCGTGTCTGCCTACTCAAAGAGCTAGGAGTGTGCTGTGCTCCTTCCATGCTGAGCACTGGCCCAAGTTCTGTGAATGAAGCAGTAACTGCATACAACTCTATCCTCATGGAGTTATGTTGTGCTGGGGGAAGAGGGGACCTCTGAGGGCTAGGAGAGAAAACAAACAACCACGCAGTCCGGTTGATGTCCACGTGAGTGTATTTGCACATATGGGTCAGTACTCCTGAGCAGACATGAGACAGATCCCCCTTTCCACCTCCTTTCTCACTCTAGACACTACCGTCTAGTCGTTTAAAGCTTCCCATCGGAATGTACGAGCGGTATCTAGGAGACAAAAATGCCAAAAATTTATAAAGTCTCACCCTGTAACATCTGGGGGAACTCTAGCTTTTGGTAAATCTGTGAGAAGATCCCAGATGGAGGAGGAAAAGCCACGCGGCTGATGAGAGGTCTCCAAATGTGAGCCAGTCTGACTACAGAGCACCATGCTGGAAAAAGGTGACCACAGCGAAATTTTATTAGGAAAGGCCCATTTACAACCATGCACAACCTCACCACCTGCTGTCCCATCTGTTATTTTAAGCTCATACTATTTAAAACCAACCTTGTTAGTGCAAACCTGTAATCCCAGCACCTGGGGATGCAGGGCCAGGGGTTCTTGAATTCAAGGCCAGCCTGAGGTATATAGCAAAATTGTGTTTGAAATACAAGCTCTCAATTTGGTCAGGAAGCCTGGCTGGGGAGCTCAGAGGCCCTGGAAGTGAATCTACCACTGTTATTTTGTTGAATGAACAGAGCATCAAATTGCCTTCCAAGTCCTATCGAGATCAGCCCTGAGTCCTCATCAGAGGGAAGGAGCTGGGAGAGGCAGGGGGACCTCTGTGAGTTCAAAGCCAGAATGACCTACATAGAGCTAGAGCTACACAGTACGACCCTGTCTCAAAACAAAACATCCCCACCCCCATAAAGAAAGAAACAGGGAGGAAGAGGGGCTGGAAAACTTTCTACTAGCCAGGGGTCAGGGAGGAATGAGGCAGAACAATGTCTAGTTCTTCGAGACAAGGTGTCTCTCTGTAGCTTTGGTACCTGTCCTCAAACTAACTCTGGTAGATAAGGCTAGTGTCAAACTCAGAAATTTGTCTGTCTCTGCCTCTCGAGTCTGGGATTAAAGGCATGCGCCAACACCACCTAGCCGCCACTTACTATTCTTAGACGGGCACATGAACCCACACCCCTAGCCAAGGAGCTATTGATAGCTGTTGGCTCCTATGCGAAGGAAAGTCAATTTTCTTTAGGTGTATAGCCCCTGTGCTGTAGGAATTCCTACAGCCAGTAGCCTGTAAGTTACCCATCCACTGGGGTGTGGCTTTTTATACTATATATGCCAAAGAAAAGCACGTGT